TTTGATACATGCTTGATAGCTTTCTTTTCTAAACCTCTAAGTACAGAGATAGCATTTATACTTATGTGGACCATAACTCGCACAACACAGAGAACTTCTAGGTGTTGTTACCATATCACTCACTGGGTGTTATTGTGAGAAAACCGGTATCTTATAGATTGAGCCAAGTCAGAACTGTGGTTGGCAACAAAGAACATAATCTGAATATGTTTGTGCAGGATTTTTTTTAAACTTTTGCCGTGTGTTCAAACAAAGGGCATACACATATGTAGTCCATTGGGAACCGTAAGTAGAAATCCAATCTGAGATTATAAGTAATATTCATAAGCTATATATAACACTAATACTTAATCTTAACTTTCTTTGTTTTTTTAGAGATGCATCAATGAAAATAACCCGTCGAGTGTGGATCGAATGTTTAAGCCAATAACGACTACTCGATTCCAAGAACTTGATAAGATTATTTTCCCACTCCTAACTTCATTTCATTGGCATATGTTGGTATTCTCTGTAAAGGCTATAAGATTTCATGTAAAGGCATATGTTGGTATTCTCTGTAAAGGCTAGAAGATTGCGGGGTGTTCTTGATGGCATACATGTTTAGCCTCGTTTCCGGTCAACCAATGTCAATTAACCAAAAGGATTGTGCAAGACATAGAGCTCGTATCGTTGCTCTATTTCTACCTGAAGGTATATTTTCTATAAGTGTAATGTTCATTGAACCGCTTATATTTGCTCTATTGTTCTTTTGATCCGCTTATATTTTGCTTTCAGGAAATCAACATGATCCTCAAGACCAATTCCCCGGATGTTAGATGCTAATTGTGATATCCAATATTTGTTTTGTAAAGTATTTGTATAATTATACTTTTGGGTCGTTGTATATAGTTTGTCAAATGCATTTGAATTTGAATGGCTGTTGTAGTGAGGTTTTTGAGTCTGCACTTGAATTTGAATGGCCGTTGTAGTGAGGTTTTTGAGTCTGCACTTGAATTTGAATAGCGGTTGTAGTTATTCTGCTCCTCCTTCTAGGTTATATTTTGCAAATGTATATCTTTGAAATGGTCTGGTTGGTATTTTACTTGCTCTGGTTGGTATTTAGTTCTGGTTTGTTGGCCTGAATTGGGTGCTCCGGTTGGTATTTTAATGTTTTGTCAATTGCTTTTTCTATTTTGAGCATAGTAGCAGATGTTTTGTACTTAGCCTCTAAGTCTTTGATATTGATGGTTAACTTTATTGCAGACTATAGCCACTAAAATTATGGTTTTGGCTAGAGAGGTTTGTCGAAACTCCTTGTTTTTTTTTTGGCTGGAAATGCAATGTTCTTGGTCGTAATTCGTCAATTGTAAGTATAGCACAGTCAATTGCAAGTATAGCACGCTAAATTTTATGCACAACACGTTAACCTGTAAGTGCAATTTTGTGAGTGCTATTTTTGTGGAATTTTATGAGTGTTATACACTTACAGGATAACCCGCTACACTTACACGATAACCCGCTACACTTACGGGATAACCCGCTACACTTACGGGATAACCCGTTACACTTACACGATAACCCGCTAAACTTACATGATAACCCGCTACACTTACAAGATAACCCGCTACACTTACGGGATAACGCGCTACACTTACGGGATAACCCGCTACACTTACGGGATAACCCGCTACACTTACGGGATAACCCGCTACACTTACAGGATAACCCGCTACACTTACGGGATAACCCGCTACACTTACACGATAACCCGCTGTACTTACAGGATAACCCACTACACTTACAAGATAACCCGCTATACTTACAGGATAACCCGCTACACTTACACGGTAACCCGCTACACTTACAGGATAACCCGCTACACTTACACGGTAACCCGCTATACTTACAGTGTAACTCACCGCACTTACAGTGTAACCCGCTACACTTACAGGATAACCATCTACACTTACGGGATAACCCGCTACACTTACAGAATAACCCGCTACACTTACGGGATAACCCGCTACACTTACTGGATAACCCGCTACATTTACGGGATAACCCGCTACACTTACATGATAACCCGCTACACTTACACGATAACCCGCTACACATACACGATAACCCGGTACACTTACAGTGTAACCCGTTACACTTACACGATAACCCGCTACACTTACACGATAACCCGCTACACTTATGGGATAACCCGCTACACTTATAGGATAACCCGCTATACTTATACGATAACCCGTTACACTTACACGATAACCCGATACACTTACACGATTACCCGCTACACTTACAGTGCAACCCGCCGCACTTACAGTGTAACCCGCTACACTTACAAGATAACCATCTACACTTACGGGATAATCCGCTACACTTACAGAATAACCCGCTACACTTACGGGATAACCCGCTACACTTACATGATAACCCGCTACACTTACACGATAACCCGTTATACTTACATGATAACCCGCTACACTTACATGATAACCTGCTATACTTAAAGTGTAACCCACTACACTTACAGGATAACCCGCTACACTTACACGATAACCCGCTACACTTATGGGATAACCCGCTACACTTACAGGATAACCCGCTACACTTACACGATAACCCGTTACACTTAAACGATAACCCGCTACACTTACAGGATAACCCGCTATATTTACACGGTAACCCGCTACAGTTACAGGATAACCCGCCGCACTTACGGGATAACCCGCTACACTTACAGGATAACCTGCTACACTTACACGATAACCCGTTACACTTACACGATAACCCGCTATACTTATAGGATAACCCGCTATACTTACATGATAACCCGCCGCACTTACGGGATAACCCGCTGCACTTACAGTGTAACCCGCCGTACTTACAGTGTAACCCGCTACACTTACAGGATAATCCGCTACACTTACAGGATAACCCGCTACACTTACAGTGTAACTAGCTACACTTACAGGATAACCGGCTATACTTACGGGATAACACGCTACACTTACAGGATAACCCGCTACACTTACAAGATAACCGACTACACTTACAGGATAACCCGCTACACTTACGGGATAACCCGCTATACTTACACGATAACCCGCTACACTTACAAGATAAACCGCTACACTTGTAGCGGGTTATCGTGTAAGTGTAGCGGGTTATCGTGTAAGTATAGCGGGTTATCTTGTAAGTATAGCGGGTTATCGTGTAAGTGTAGCGGGTTATCCTGTAAGTGTAACGGGTTATCGTGTAAGTGTAGCGGGTTATCCCTTAAGTGTAGCGGGTTATCCTGTAAGTGTAGCGGGTTATCATGTAAGTATAACGAGTTACCGTGTAAGAGTAGCGGGTTATCCAGTAAGTGTAGCGGATTATCATGTAAGTGTAGCAGGTTATCCTATAAGTGTAGCGGGTTATCCCGTAAGTGTAGCGGGTTACACTGTAAGTATAGCGGGTTATCATATAATTGTAGCGGGTTAGTTTATAAGTGTTGCGGGTTATCCTGTAAGTGTAGCGGGTCCCGTAAGTGTAGCTGGTTACACTGTAAGTGTAGCGCGTTATCCCGTAAGTGCGGCGGGTTATCCTGTAAGTGCGGCGGGTTACCGTGTAAGTGTAGTGGGTTATCATGTAAGTGTAATGGGTTATCGTGTAAGTTTAACGGGTTATCGTGTAAGTATAGCGGGTTATCCTGTAAGTGTAGCGGGTTATCCCATAAGTGTAGCGAGTTATCGTGTAAGTGTAGCGGATTATCGTTTAAGTGTAGCGGGTTACACTGTAAGTATAGCGGGTTATCGTGTAAGTGTAGCGGGTTATTGTGTAAGTGTAGCGGGTAATCGTGTAAGTGTAACGGGTTATCGTGTAAGTAAAGCGGGTTATCGTGTAAGTGTAGCGGGTTATCCCGTAAATGTAACGGGTTATCCTGTAAGTGTAGCAGGTTATCCCGTATGTGTATCGGGTTATTCTGTAAGTGTAACGGGTTATCCCGTAAGTGTAGATGGTTATCCTGTAAGTGTAGCGGGTTACACTGTAAGTGCGGCGGGTTACACTATAAGTATAGCGAGTTACCGTGTAAGTGTAGCGGGTTATCCTGTAAGTGTAGCGGGTTACCGTGTAAGTGTAGCGGGTTATCCTGTAAGTGTAGTGGGTTATCCTGTAAGTATAGCGGGTTATCGTGTAAGTGCAGCGAGTTATCATGTAAGTGTAGCGAATTATCCCGTAAGTGTAGCGGGTTATCCCGTAAGTGTAGCGGGTTATCTTGTAAGTGTTGCGGGTTATCGTGTGAGTGTAGCGGGTTATCGTGTGAGTGTAGTGGGTTATCGTGTGAGTGTAGCGGGTTATCCTGTAAGTGTAGCGGGTTATCCTGTAAGTGTAGCGGGTTATCGTGTAAGTGTAGCGGGTTATCCCGTAAGTGTAGAGATTATCCCGTAAGTGTAGCGGGTTATCGTATAAGTGTAGCGGGTTATCGTGTAAGTGTAGCGGGTTATCCTGTAAGTGTATAACACTCATAAAATTCCACAAAAATAGCACTCACAAAATTGCACTTACAGGTTAACGTGTTGTGCATAAAATTTAGCGTGCTATACTTGCAATTGACTGTGCTATACTTACAATTGACGAATTACGACCAAGAACATTGCATTTCCAGCCAAAAAAAAAACAAGGAGTTTCGACAAACCTCTCTAGCCAAAACCATAATTTTAGTGGCTATAGTCTGCAATAAAGTTAACCATCAATATCAAAGACTTAGAGGCTAAGTACAAAACATCTGCTACTATGCTCAAAATAGAAAAAGCAATTGACAAAACATTAAAATACCAACCGGAGCACCCAATTCAGGCCAACAAACCAGAACTAAATACCAACCAGAGCAAGTAAAATACCAACCAGACCATTTCAAAGATATACATTTGCAAAATATAACCTAGAAGGAGGAGCAGAATAACTACAACCGCTATTCAAATTCAAGTGCAGACTCAAAAACCTCACTACAACGGCCATTCAAATTCAAGTGCAGACTCAAAAACCTCACTACAACAGCCATTCAAATTCAAATGCATTTGACAAACTATATACAACGACCCAAAAGTATAATTATACAAATACTTTACAAAACAAATATTGGATATCACAATTAGCATCTAACATCCGGGGAATTGGTCTTGAGGATCATGTTGATTTCCTGAAAGCAAAATATAAGCGGATCAAAAGAACAATAGAGCAAATATAAGCGGTTCAATGAACATTACACTTATAGAAAATATACCTTCAGGTAGAAATAGAGCAACGATACGAGCTCTATGTCTTGCACAATCCTTTTGGTTAATTGACATTGGTTGACCGGAAACGAGGCTAAACATGTATGCCATCAAGAACACCCCGCAATCTTCTAGCCTTTACAGAGAATACCAACATATGCCTTTACATGAAATCTTATAGCCTTTACAGAGAATACCAACATATGCCAATGAAATGAAGTTAGGAGTGGGAAAATAATCTTATCAAGTTCTTGGAATCGAGTAGTCGTTATTGGCTTAAACATTCGATCCACACTCGACGGGTTATTTTCATTGATGCATCTCTAAAAAAACAAAGAAAGTTAAGATTAAGTATTAGTGTTATATATAGCTTATGAATATTACTTATAATCTCAGATTGGATTTCTACTTACGGTTCCCAATGGACTACATATGTGTATGCCCTTTGTTTGAACACACGGCAAAAGTTTAAAAAAAATCCTGCACAAACATATTCAGATTATGTTCTTTGTTGCCAACCACAGTTCTGACTTGGCTCAATCTATAAGATACCGGTTTTCTCACAATAACACCCAGTGAGTGATATGGTAACAACACCTAGAAGTTCTCTGTGTTGTGCGAGTTATGGTCCACATAAGTATAAATGCTATCTCTGTACTTAGAGGTTTAGAAAAGAAAGCTATCAAGCATGTATCAAAAGCAACGAAGAAATTAAATCAGATGTCTAGAACTCAAAGAAGCATTTCAAGTATACCAAGCATTGTAATGTACAAGCCCAAAGTGCATCTCACACAGCTATGTCATAACGAAAAAGAAAAGAAAAACACATGCACATCAACTGAAGTTCCTAAATCAAAACCACAACGATTGACATCAGCACAAAATATACAAATAGCTGAGGCGTACACATTACAAATTTCTTTAATATCAAATTGTAATAGATTTTTTTTATCAAAACCTAAGATCGACGACAACCGAGCACCTAATTCGTGCTAATTAGTACCTCAAACGGCGAGATCGACGGCAACGGCGAGATAAACAGCGATGATGACTGGGACCGCGGCGGGCGACGATCGGAAAGGGTTGCGAGTTCGACTGGAATGATGACTGGGATAGCGACTGTGAGATGCGTCGGCGACAAGGGGACTGCGAGATCGATGACGAGATCAACGACGACGACGACTAGGAAGGAAGCGAGGCGACGATTGGGCGAAAACGAGGCGACGGGGTAGCTAAAAGGTCGATGGAGACAGCGACGTCGGCTTCACGACGGGCGACGGCGACCAACGGCGATCGATTTCTATTTTTAGGGCTTTTTGAAAAGGGGGAAGATGAGGAGAGAGAGACTGGGTTATATAGGGTCAATGAAAGGGGTATTTTGGGGTTTTTATATTGATTATGTATAAGTACAAGTGCTACAAGTATTGTATTTTAAATATTGGGTTTAAAGACAAATACCAAAAGTTAATTGGGCTAAAGGAAACAACTAAAAACTGGTGGGTTTAAAGATAAAACTAGGTAAATAAATGGGTTTAAAGATAAAACTCGGGAGACTTCTTGCAATAGCATAGGGGTTAAATGGAGGGTTAAGAGGGTTTAACCCTCCATTAGTCTGCCAAACACCAAAAAAAAACCCAAGTGATAGTTATCCCTCACGTGACCCGTTTACCCCACTTAACCCGTGATTATACGGGATAACAATTCCCCTCTCTTTGGCGGAACAACGATTGTCCCGACCTCTCAAGCGAGGGTAGCCGATGGAAATAACAAATTATCAGTCGAAAAATAGGCAGGGCGTATGCAATCCGCGATTTGGCAGCGGAAATTAGGGAGGCCAGCGATCATTTCCGTTATAAGGTAAGATTCGAACCAAACCTGATCTTCCCCAAAATTGATTCCCTCTACTTCTTTCCCTCCAAAATTTCCCTCTAATTTTTCTTCCCCCTTCTTCTCCCGAGCTATTAATAGGAATTAATTTAAAGGAAAACAAGAGAGGAAATTGCAGCCGATTGTGATCTCAAGTGACGGGAGACAAAGAAAAGAGAGGTATGTTAATTTCGTAATATCGAATTGGTTTTCAAATTTTTGCCATACAATCGATTATGTTCATATGAATCTAGTTGGTTGATTGATGTTTTTGATCATTTAACAGCTTGCCGAAGGTTAAAATTTAAGGCTTTTAATCTTTATTGTGATGCTACAAGTTCAGAAAATATCATTATGAACCATTTGCTTAATTGTTTGTATACTAGAAAAAAACTGGTGAAAAAAAGTAAATTTATTGCACCTGAAATTGGAGAGTTTGGTTCGATTACAAGTTTTTCTAGTATTGTTTACATGCAAAGTCTGACCTATTCTTCCTTTAAATTGATTTCCTTGGTTCTCCTATTTGCTTGATAGCTTTATGAAATATGTAAGATGGTTAATGGTAGCTTGTGGTTTAATTTGTCTGGAAGATAGAGAATGTTTATGCTAAGTAATGGTTCTTTCATAAAGGGTTATATATTTAACCTATAAAGTGGGGTGTGTGATTTGTTAATTTCAATTTATTTGTGAATTCATGTAAAAAAACAAATTTGAGGACTTCCCCTTTCCCTCTGAAACACCCTTGACGCCTTTGTTTTTGCTTCACAAAGGATCTTTGGGGGAAACGTAAAAGGTTGGTATTTTGGCAATTGAGATCGAGACTAATAAAAACAAATTTGAGGACTTCCCCTTTCCCTCTGAAACACCCTTGACGCCTTTGTTTTTGCTTCACAAAGGATCTTTGGGGGAAACGTAAAAGGTTGGTATTTTGGCAATTGAGATCGAGACTAATTTGCAGGAACCTTAGGATTAGGAGGTACGGGCAGTTCCAATGTTTTGAGGGACTAATATGACATTATTGAATATTTCATTAATTAATGTTTAAATAAATTTTATGGAGCTGTTTGGTTGAGTGGAGATAGATTCGCGAGAGTAAATATAACAACAAGATTTATATTCTAACTGTTTGATTTGCAATATATTAGTTAGGGGAAAAAAAGGAAACGAATCTATAATATATTTACAAAAAAAACTTTTAGTAATGATCTATCACAATCATCGGTTAATTGTCGGGGGAGGGGGGGGCGGGGCTTATTCATTCAACCTCTTAATAAAAAAGATTGTAACACAATTTGGTAGGACCAAAAGTTGCCGTCTCCAAAAATAGAAATAAATAAAATTTAAAAGTAATTTCACCTAAAAAAAAATTTCAAAACCAAATATGAATGCCATCACACCCACGTTTCCTTACTTGGTGAAATTATATAGCTTTTGCACCAATTATTTTTCAACCAAAACATTGACTTAATACATTTCCTTTAATAAAATTGATGAACGAGAAACCAATTTAGCATCAATCAAATTCAAGTTGAGGAGCTGTTCTCTCTTCTTCTTCTTCTGCCGATGCCGTTGCTTCGAAATTCAAAACACAAGAAGCCTAGGATTCACCAATTAATTAATCTGGTAGTTAATTAGCTTTTTCTTTTTATCATAATTAAGTTAATTATCTTTAAGGAATCCTATTTTCCATAAGATTTGCTTTTCCATAGTTATCACAGATAGTCCTCCTATTTTCGTGTAGCGGGTTATCCTGTAAGTGTAGCGGGTTATCGTGTAAGTGTAGCGGGTTATCCCGTAAGTGTAGAGATTATCCCGTAAGTGTAGCGGGTTATCGTATAAGTGTAGCGGGTTATCGTGTAAGTGTAGCGGGTTATCCTGTAAGTGTATAACACTCATATAATTCCACAAAATAGCACTCACAAAATTGCACGTACAGGTTAACGTGATGTGCATACAATTTTACGTGCTATACGTTCAATTGAACGTGCTATACTTACAATTGACGAATTACGACCAAGAACATTGCATTTCCAGCCAAAAAAAAAACAAGGAGTTTCGACAAACCTCTCTAGCCAAAACCATAATTTTAGTGGCTATAGTCTGCAATAAAGTTAACCATCAATATCAAAGACTTAGAGGCTAAGTACAAAACATCTGCTACTATGCTCAAAATAGAAAAAGCAATTGACAAAACATTAAAATACCAACCGGAGCACCTAATTCATGCCAACAAACCAGAACTAAATACCAACCAGAGCAAGTAAAATACCAACCAGACCATTTCAAAGATATAC